GGAGAGAGGGAGAGAGAGGGGGAGGGGGAGGGGGAGGGAGAGGGAGAGGGAATATGAATGAGGACTAGAATCTATGCCTCTGTATGAGAACCCCAGCTACCACTGTCAAAGGCCCTTGTGGGCTGGGTGTGTGTTTACTGGTGTAGGATTTGCATTCTTCTCTTATCTTGATGCTCTCCTTTACATATTCTTAAAAATGTCTGAACTAAGGCTCAAAATTTGAAAGCCATTTGACAAGGAAACAGAAAAACCAGTTTGGTAAATTTGTGGTTATTTTCCATTTTGGAGGAGGGAGAAGCACAGGCCAGAACATAAAGGGGGCACACACAATTTGGGGTTTTGAGTATTTGGAAAGGTAGGTAATGGCGGTTTCCGGAAAGGGCATGGCACTTTTAAGATGGGACCCAACTCAGAGGTCAAAGAACACTGCCATAAATTTAAGGTATTTGTTCATTGATGGAAACAGGAATAATTCTAAATCTCTACAAAGCTCCATTTTAACACATCCTGCTAGACATTTAATGAAAGGCTTAACACCATTTTGGATATAAATTTTTCTTTAAAATTTTCTAGTTCTGTAAACAGCCTACACATGTACCTTTTCCTTATGTTTTGCTTTGCTTTTTCACTCCAAGTCACCCTGGCTGTCCTTCTGTGTGGAGCAGGGCATCGTGCTGGGCCAAGAACTCCCAACTGTCTTCTCCTTGAGCACGCTTCGCTCTTGTTACTTCTTGCCATTTGTATGGGTTATTTCTCTCAGAATTCTTCCTAGTTGTCTGCAGACTCAGCCTTTTGTCTCCCCACTCCATAGCTTGTGGCAGAAGTGAAAGCTGCAGAGGAAGTGAGTTAGGAACATGTTTGGTACCGTCACAGTTCTGCCTGGGAGAAGGAAGCCATGCCTCTTTTGCAGTCTGAAGCTTCTGCTTAGCTTCTGCTTGGCTTTGTGCTCTTAGGGTTCTCTGCATGGAGCTGTTCCATGGCTCCCTTCTCCTCCTCTATTCCTTGCTGTCCTTGCTGGCAGCCCTCCAGCTACGCCTGCCCCCTTCCAGGCCATAGCATAGATGTCACTTCTTCAGGAAGCTGCTGAGCCCCAAGTTAAGATGGCAGTGCTTCCTCAGCTTTGTCACTACTACCCTGCACCCTCTTGGGTGCCTACTTCCTGATTTGTCTTCCTGCTGGACAGTAGGCCTCAAGGCTTGGGCATAACCTGTCTGTCCACCATTTTATTTATTCCCAGATGTTGACCAAGGTGGCTCACGCATCTGTAAGTCTAAGCAGTTTCCTATTACACTTGAAACTCGGGCTTCCCAAGCTTGTATGGTGGCACTGGCTTATAATCCCAGCATGTTGGAGACTAAGGCAAGAGGATTAATGCAAGTTTGAGGCCAGCCTGAACTACATAGTGAGACTCTGTCTCAAAAAAACAAAACAAAACAAAACAAAACAAAACAAAACAAAAAAACAAAGCAACAAAAAACAGTCTGCATGAGGAGCCTTGCATACTTTTCTCCTAAAGGTATCTCAGCTCACTGTTAAAATTGGTACTAAATTTTCTTTAATTTCACTCAATAAAAAATATGAATATACACATGCATGTATACCTGTACATCACACACTGTGATTGTTTTTGTACCAGGGATCAAACTCAGGACCTTGTGCTTGCGAGGCAGGCAGCGGCACCACTGAGCTAAATCCCTGGCCCACCACACTGTGTTTTTACTATTTCCTTTTCCTGTCTCACTCACTAGACTAGTCCTCCATCACACCTAAGCCTGTGGTCTTTGAGGTCATCAGTAACTTCCAGGAAGGCTCTGATTCATTTTTGTGAGCGAAAACAAGCAATAGAAGTTGTGACTCTCAGACTCAGAATTTATTTATTTATTTATTCTTTATTGGTATATTTTAGGTATACAATACAGTTACATTCATCATTGGGATCTTGTACCTTTATATGACCTATCTTGGTTCTTATTTTTTCCCCATTCCCCTAGCCTCCCTTCAGCCCCTCCATCCTTCCCTATTTACAAAGACTTTATTTCCATTTTTTCCCTTTTCTCTTATTTTTTTCTTTTCCCTTCTTACCTTTTCCAAACCCCTCCTACTTCCCCTACACCTTTAGACCTTTTTTCCTATTACACAATATTAATTATGCATTTTGATCCTTATTTACATTTTTAGTTTTTTACACCAGAGAAACTATTCAATGTTCACACAGTGTGTCCTATTAATTTCACTTAAGAGTATGTCCTCAAGCTGGGCGTGGTGGTGCACACCTGTAATCCCAGCACTTGGAAGGTTGAGGCAGGAGGATCGCTGTGAGTTTGAGACCAGCCTGGGCTACATAGTGAGTTCCAGGTCAGTCTCAACTACATAGTGAGACCCTGCCTCAAAACAAACAAACAAACAAAAAAAGAGTATTCCTCAATGTGCATCTACTTAGCTATAAATGTCTCTAGTTTCTCATTCTTTATGGCTGAGTAGTACTCCATTTTATAAAAATGGACTCAGCATTTAATACTGCTAGAAATGGTTTCTTTATTTTTCATATGGCTACTGTACTGATAGTTTTGAATATGAAGAAAGTCATATGTAAAAAGGAATAATTGCAGTGGTACCTTGGTTCATGAACAATTTTGTCTTTGAACACTGCCTCAGGTAATGAATACTCAGATATCTTTTCCAGAATCATGGAACAAATTAAGTTGTTGAACCGAGATACCACTGTAGCCTTTGAAGCATATTTTATGAGTTGGATAATATAGCAGAACAGTAAGCCCATTTTTACCCCTACTTTTAAAGGAATAGTTCTGTGGGAATATTTTCACAAATGGGTAAAAGCTGTACAGGTTTGGTTTCACACTTTGATTTTTTAATAAAGTGTATAAAGTTCACTGACGTGAACACATCTTTGTTCCATACTCTTTCCTTTAGGTTACTATCGCACCGAGAGAGATAAGGGCACTCAGTATGAGCTCTTTTTCAAGAAGGCTGACGTGATGGAGTACAGACATGTGACTCTCTTCCGCCCTTTTGGGCCTCTCATGAAGGTGAAGAGCGACGTGGTTGACATCAGCAGGGCCATCATCAACATCATCATGCCACTTGCCCAAAGAACAGAAGCGTTCACACAGTTCATGCAGAACTTCAGGTAGCTGTCAGGTGCTGAGAGCGTGGCTAGGTTTTTCTAGAAAAATCACAATTGATGCAGCTTTTCCTGATTTATCTTCACTAAGTATGATTACTTAAGATTGTAGAATAATCTTATAGGCTTTAGCTAGCCTTATTTTTGAAACTTTTTCCTTAAAGTGCATAAAGTTAGTTTCTTGATAATTTGAACTATAAATTTAGATTGGCAACTATTAGAAGCTGAATTCAATGACCTTTATAATGATGTGTGAATTCGTGTTAATACAAGTTTGAACTTTTAAAAATTACTTTATTGAGGGCCAGGGATTTAGCTCAGTGGTTCCGCCGCCTACCTCTCAAGTGCAAGGGCCTGAGTTTGAGCAAAAAGTTACTTTGTTGAGACATAATTTATATTCAATAAAATCCATACACTTTAAGGATGTTTTAAAGATAGTAAGTCATATTTTTATAACTTGACAGATGTATACACTTGTAAGCTACCATCCAAATCAAAATTACTTTTTATCTCCCAAGAAAATCCCCTTAAGGATAATCTAAGAGTGAAATAAATTTTAAAATATAAACATTGAACTGAAGTGGGAAAAGTTTATTCCATCTTGGGAAGCAGGGTATTTCTATTCTTTTTCTTTGGTCATTAAATTTTAATATTTTAGAATGCTGAAGTGTTAATAACTATACGTTAGAATAACAATTTGAGAAAATACTGCTTTTTTGTTTTAACATTTCCATGTTTTAGTTACTTTCATATGCTATTTTTAGTGCTTTGTGATGCTGACCTTTATTTGTATATTGAAAAGGTAGTTAACCCTATTCTGCAGCAAAATATTTAGGAGTTGTACTTATGAATGAGTTTTATGGGTTTTTTTCATTCAGTTTATTGGTACATTTTAGGTATACAATACGATGTCATTCATCATTGAAAATTTGTACCTTTACATGATGTATCTTGGTTTTTTTTTCCCATTCCCCTTCCCTCCCTTCACCCACTCCATCCCTACCGATTTACAAAGACTTTGTTTCCATTTTTTCTTCTTCTCATATTTTTTGCTTTTCCCTTCTTTCCTTTCCTCTACCCCTCCCACTTTCCTTTTTGACCTTTTCTTCCTATTTCTCATTATCAATTATACATTTTGATCCTATTTACACTTTCACTTTCTCACACCAGAGAAACTTTGGTATTTACATGTTTGTCCTGTTTATTTCACTTGAGTATTGCCTCAATGTGCATCCATTTAGCAATAAATGTCTCTAGTTTCTCATTCTTTATGGCTGAATAATACTTCATTTTATATAAAAAAAAATCTTTATCCAATCTCTAGTTGATGGGCAATTGGGCTGTTTCCAAGTTTTAGCTATTACAAACTGTGCCACTATGAATATGGGTGCACATATATTGCTATGGTTATGATTCTTTTAATTCTTTTGGGAAGATACCCAGAAGGGAAATAGCTGGGTCAAATGGGACCTCTAAGCCTGATTTTTTTAGGTATCTCCATATTGATCTCCATAGTGGTTGCACCAGTCTGCACTCCTAGCAACAATGGAGAAGATTTGAAATAGCTCTCTTTAGAGCTGATTTCCTAAAGCAATTTTTCTTGGCATTATCTTCAGAGGTTGTATTATTCTTTATGGTAAATATTCTTAGTCATGGCAAATATTTATTCCTGATGATAAGTATAATTTTTTGGAAATTGCCAGTTTGAGACAAAATAACTCTCGATCCAAAACTTGAATATTTATTTATTTGGTTCTGAACTAATTGAATTTATTTCCTTGAATAGTTTATGATTTGATTCTAAAACCAATCCCAAAACAAAAGTTCCAAAAACATGCTGCAATTGAGCCATTGAGGACTGCTCTCTTGGCCCTCTGCTGGCATAGACTTCATGCTTTGCTGTGATGTCATCAACAATTGGGAGGGACTGTCACCTTAAGTCAGTAATGCTTCCTGTGACTTCACTATGTCAATAGGGCCTCACTTACTTTCTTGTTAAAACTTTGCCTGGTTGTTCTCTAAATAAAGTAGTACCTTGTGTTTTCTTAAACTTTATTTTTCATTTCTTCTAGGGATGTTTGTATTCATCAGGACAAGAGGATCCATCTTACGGTGGTGTACTTTGGTAAAGAAGGACTATCTGAAGTCAAATCTATCCTAGAATCTGTCACAAGGTTGGTGAGTCTTGTCCATAATGAAGTCCTTGATAGATGACATTAGAAGAATGAGGATTTTAGATATGTAAATTACTCGGACTTTTGAATAGCTACTGAGCATGGGATGATAGCGTGGAGCTCCTCGTTTCACAATGGCTCTGCACAGCCTGTCTTCTCCCATAGCTGCCCTGCAGATACCAGCCCTACTTCAGGACACTGCCCTCTGGGTCACTCCCTTTTTGTACAATTGCTTCACTCCTTTTTCTAGGTCTAAACCCCATGCTTTGCTGTCCTCATCCCCTGAGCTGGCTCTTATCTCCTTTCTTCTGTTTGCTCACTGTACTTCTTCTCACCCTGCAGACGATGTCCAAGTCTCCGTGTATGTAAGAGCCCCTGATTCTTCTGCAGGGCGCAGCAGCTGCTGTCACAGTGCTGTCCTCTCATAGTCAGACCTCACAGAGCAGTGGTTGGGTCACTAAGCAGTCCATTGGATACCTGGCACATAGTAGAGGCTCAGAGGTTTGAAGGGATGAATTCATCATTCCTTAATATATCATTTTTTTATCTTTAGTTTTTCTCTAAATTGTGGGCCCCAAGGTACAGCCCAGCTGGCAAAATCAGCCACTTCTCTGTTCTCTTCTTTGATTGCTTTTTTACATGACACCCTAACCAGCACTTTCTTCTTCATTGTCATTACATTTTTAAAAATGTAAATATTTGTAAATGTGAAGTAACAGCAGCGTGTAGGTTGCTTGTTCCACTCTAGCTGTAGCAGTGCCACACCCTACCCTTGCTTTTTTGCCTGCCCCTGCTGGTGGCCATCACTGAGTGCTGAACTAGACCAGTGCTCCTCTCCAGCTGCTCACTAACACTTGCCGAGCCCACCTTCTGTGTCCCAAGTACACTGTGTGGGAGTCCAGGGTAGTTAGAGGAGGTCAGGGCCCAGCTGGGGCACCTGTGTGGCACTGACATGCATCAGTGCACTCGCCCTTTTCCCTGCACACCTGCCCGGGGGGGCTCTTTCAGCTCAGAGTCAGACCTAGCACCCGAGAGCTGAGTCTTACTCATCTGTATCTGTCTGAAGAGTTACTTCCTACTTGCATCTGTCCTTTCCCCTAACCAGCTCCCTCCCCCTCCATTTCTTCCCTTCCTCTCTCCCCTCTTTGCTGCTAAATACCAGGTGCTCACCCTGGTACCTCTGTAAGTCATCCCTGTCAGGATTCCTCTGTGGCAGGTGATGGAAACTTACCTTGAGCTGCTTGAGGAAGGATCAGGATTGAAGAATCTGGGTAGCTTCCAGAAACAGAGAGACTGTTACAGGCAAACTTAGAGAAGCTCAAGACAGCTCTGGGGTCTCAGGATTGGGACCAGAGGCATGGACGCCATCAGAGCTCTCTCACCATCATCTTGCTGTTCCCTGCATGTTGACTTCCTTCTCCTGTTGCAGATTGGCTTCTTCAAAATGCTGAGGGATGTGGCTGTTGGCGGCTCGGGGCTCACACTTCTCAGCTTTGCCATCAGAGAGGAAAGCGCTTTCTCCCTCCAGTTGAGCTCCAGTTGAGAAAATCCCAGGGAAGGACATTTCCCACTCTTTAGCCAGTCACTATGGCCAGGTGGGGTGGAGGTGCAGTTAACCCCACTTGAGCCTGATCCCCACTCCCAGGAAATTACTGGGGTGGGGTGGGTGGAGCGGGGATGTTCTGTGATCAGGGCATCCAGGTGGTGCTGGGCAATGGGGTGGTAATCAGCAGTTTCTCCAAAAGAAAGGAGAGGTTTCCATACCATGCGGGGGGAGAGTAGTCCCAGGCCCCCCAAAACAGCGTGATCGTGCTTGCATCTCCATTGCGTACACTTCCTGGTAAGGCCAGCCTTCCCCTCATTCTTGTTGGGTCTCACTGCCTCCTGTTGCAATGACCTTTCAGCTTGGTGTGGAGGCGCAGAGTGCTCAGTCTACCCTCGATCCAAGTCAGGGAGCCAGAGTTGGAGACTCATTTGCATCTAACATGTTCCCAAGGGGTGGTGACACAGACTGGAAGCCTGCTTGTGAGAACCACATTCCTAGCAGAAAATCCCACCAACCCTTTGGCCTTTGGTGTCCCATGTTCCATAACCTCGCACATCAGGTGCTCTTCACTCTGACTCTCCTCACATTCCCATCTTAGGGTCCCTTGGTCCAGCCTTCTTCTCAGCATTCCTATTATAGGTTCCTTTGTTACCATCTGACTTGTCTGACCCCTAATCGCTTCCTCTAAGACACTTTCTACTTTCTCTGCTTTTTTTTCTTTGTTTTGTTTTGGGGGTTTTTTTTGTTTGTTTGCTTGTTTGTTTGTTTTGGTGCCAGGGATCGAACTCGGATCCTTGTGCTTGCCAGGCAGGCGGCAGAACCATTGAGCTAATTCCCCAGCCCTACTTTCTCTGCTTTTAAGAGTAATTACTGGGAATGACCTTTACACTCAACCCTGAGTTCAGCATTTTAACTCAGGCATAACTCACGTGCCACTTTTGGTGTCTTCTCTGACTGCTCTAGACGTAGCCATCTCTCTCCTCAGAACCACTGCTCACTCATTCATTCAGCAGCTACACACTGAGCTCCGTCCGACTCTGCAACTCTGGACTCTGTGAGGGAGGGCACTTTGCATAGAAATGGGCAAGACAGAAGCCTGCTGTCCTGGAGGGGGAAGAGTGAACTAGCATGCCTGGGGGTGCTGGGAGAGCAGCCAAGGTGGCTACCGCCCACATGACACGTGGGGGAGCCTGTGACCACAGCGTGTCCAGAGGTTGCATGTGTCTGGTGTGGGTGACCTACACCAGTCCCCAAACACATGGCTGCTCCTTCACTCGTGTGTTGTCATCTGATTGGGCACTGGTCAGTTAGTAGCCTGTTAAGCCTCACACTACCAGCATGTCTGCCCCCCAGCCTGTGGGCACTCAGTCCCTGGTGGCCTTGTGCCAGGGAGGACACTTGCCTTTCCCTGTATGAATGAGAACCAGCATCATGAAATATCTGAAGTGTAAACTGTGTTTATAAGTTCTGTTGAAGGAAGAACATTGTAACTCTAAGTGGGACTCATCATTTGTTATATGTGCTTTCCTCATAGTGAGTCTAATTTTCACAATTACACCTTGGTCTCATTGAATGAAGAATTTAATCGTGGACGAGGACTAAATGTGGGTGCCAGAGCTTGGGACAAGGGAGAGGTCTTGATGTTTTTCTGTGATGTTGATATATATTTCTCAGCCGAATTCCTTAACAGCTGCCGGTTAAATGCTGAGCCAGGTGCGTAAACCATGATGAGCTGAGTAAAGAATTAAGAACAGTGTTGGCATGTCCCATGTTTTGAATCGAATTAATTTAAGGGAAAGGGAGTTTTAAATCAAGCCTGGGATGTTCTTTCATAAGTAGTATTAGCTATGATTTAACTGGAAAACTAAGACCGGGCGTGGTGGCGCACACCTGTAATCCCAGCACTCGGGAAGCTGAGGCAGGAGGATCGCTGTGAGTTCGAGACCAGCCTGGGCTACACAGTGAGTTCCAGGTCAGTCTCAACTACATAGTGAGACCTTGTCTCAAAAAACCAAAAAGATAAAAACAAACAAACTAACTGGAAAACTAATAAGTTAAAAACTTAACCCTTTATAGTTTACATCCTTTGTTCTCTTGGGCCCAAATTCTAATGGCTACATTTGAAGCCAAGTAAAGAAGTGCAGAAAAATAGAAGTCTAGAAATTGATGAGAAGGAAACAACTCCAGGCAGAAAAAGAGCTACCCAGATGGTGTGGAGATGTGTGAGTCTGAAAGACTCAACCTTCAGAGGGGATCAAATGTACCACACTCTGGCGAGCACACTCACATGCACACTCAGGCAGTGTGTGGTCTCCAGACTATATTTTGGGGTGACTTGCTACTGTACTTTATGCTGTAGATATTTTTTTTAAATGAATGGGTAAATGACAGTTTTATAAGTCAACTTTTATTTTAAATGTAGAAAAGAAAGTTTTCTGTTATAAAAAGTCTCAATAGGAGTAATAAGTTCAGGAACATTGTACAAACTGGTACTGTGGATAGTAACAGTACACTGTGTACTTGAAAACTGCTAACAAAAGTTGACTGTAAATGCCCTCACCATAAAAAAATAAATATGAGGTGAGGGATATGTTCATTAGCATGATGTAATCATCTCACAGGCATGCATATATCAAAACATCATGTTGGACTCATAAATATATACACTTTTTGTCAGTAAAAATACAGTAATTTTTAAATGAAAGAATCTCATTTTGTGTGGAACTCTTCATATTGTGCAAGCCTAATTTTTTACTAAGGGCTTTGGCTAGGGAGAACTGTTCAGAGTTTTCTGACAACCTGATGAGTAAGTGTGGGTCTGATTTATTCTTGTTACTCCAGACAACATGAAATTCAAAATGTAGATGTTGAAAGAGATGTATGTGCTCAGTGTAGAAGACTTTTATATCCAGAAATAGCTTTGCCCCTGGGAAGTTGCACCTTCCTGGCCCTAAATTGGTTTGAAGGAAGTAGGCTGGTATCTGGTAGGCTCTAGTAGTAAGAAGGCTGCATGTCACTTGCAGGCCTTGAGCAGCTGGCACTTCCTCAGCCAGTCCTGCCAGGAGCCTCTTGGCAGGTGGCCAGGTGCTGTTAGCCTGGAGACCCTTCACACCCTTCACACTCTCAGTTTGAATGCTGAGGATAAGGTCTTCCACAAGGGCTCTGACAGCAAGTGTTTTTAATCCCTGTCTTGCCAACCTTCCGAGATCTTGGTTTAAATCTGTTTGCATTTCTAAATTAATTATTTTCTACATGTCTAGGTAGTGTACAATATTCTTTGCACTTGCTTTTTTTGATTACTCCTGGGAAGGTTGGATTTAACAGAAATTTGTAAGTTTCCCTATGATTTCAGAAGTCAATCTATATCTCTTACTGCTGACTAGATGACCTAATGAATGAGTAATAAAGAGCTCACCTAATGAGGGCTGGGGATTTAGCTCAAACGCAAGGACCCGAGTTCAGTCCCCGGTACCAATAAAGAAAGAAAGCAGGCAAGCTAGCTCGCTCACCTAATGAATAGCCAAGAGAATACCTTTGTATATCTCCCCAGAGTCAAGGGGACTAAACACATGAAGTTCCCTTTAGTCTGGTTTGTTTTGTTTTTTTTGCAAGGTTACAGTTTCATTGCCTGATTTAATGATAAAATCATCATGTTCATCCAATCAGTATGATGTTCTATAGCTTGAGTATTGATGATAGGTGATTTTGAAAGACTTCATTAAAGTCTCTTATCTAGTAATAAAGATGTCCTTCATTGAATGCCTCCTTGGGTGATATAAAATATGTTTTAACTTACAGGTAGAAAGGTGTTTTACCCTGTGGTGTTCAGCCTTTACAACCCTGCCATCGTTTATGCCAACCAGGATGCCCCACCCCCCGTGGAGCAGCAGCTGGTGAGACTTTGATAGTGTTGGTCATGAATGGCTCTAGACAGCCTTTTATGTTTGTGGTACAATGAGCAAACACAAGTTCGTGTAACAAAGCACATGATTATAAGCACATTTCCAGTCTCTTTCACACCTCTGGCCCCCAGTAAGATGCTTTCAGAATTAAGTGTCAGGGAGAACGGTGTAGGCCACAAAGAAAAACCTCATGTTCCAGAAATTGGAAATTGTGCAGTCATCTCTGCCAGCTTACTTTTAGTAACATTGAAAATTTAATTTTAAGAACTCCACTTGGCTGGGTGTGGTGGCACATGCCTTGTAATCCCAGCACTCAGGAGGCTGAGGCAGGAGGATCGCTGTGAGTTTGAGACCAGCCTGGGCTACATAGTGAATTTCAGGTCAGTCTCAAACTACATAGTGAGACCCTGTCTCAAAAACCAAAAAAAAACTCCACCAAATAGGGATAAGATAGAATGATTATGTAGCACATGCAAGGCCCTGTCAGCATTATCCTGATATACACACATATCCTCCTCCTCCTCTGTAGGCCAGTATTACTTAGGAACATAGATAAAAATAGCATCAAAATGTCAAACTCCTCTGACCTTGCACCTTTAAAAGTAAATTATTACAAAGAAATGGGGCTGAGTGTGGTGGTGCATACTTATAATCCCAACACTCTTAGAGGCTAAGGCAGGATGATCACAAGTTCAAGATCATCCTGGGCAACGTAGCGACTTAACAGGACTCTCAAAATTTAAAAATACAAAAAGGGCTGAGGATTAGTTTAGTGTAAAGGCCTTGGGTTCGTTCCCCAGTATTGCAGAGAGAGGTTCCTAGTAAGGAGCAGCACCACAGGGCTGGCCTCCTACCAGAGCCAAGGCATGGCAGAGCCCAGGTGTCCCCAGATGGCCCCAGGTGAGTTCTCCCTTCAGTGTCTCTGCCTGCATTGCTCTTACTAGAGATAGGACTTGCAGTCATGGCTCATAGCCATGGGTTTTTGAACAAGGATCTTTTAAACAAAAATGAGTAGTAGCTACTGAAGACTAACCATATGTTTAAGGAAAACCAATGTCGTGAAATTTTAGTGAACAGAAAAATTACCACATGAGAGCAAGTAGAAAAATCACTTTAAAATAATTCAGCTTAAGAACAATTAGAGAAAACATTATTGATAAAAATAAGATGTATTGATACAAAATAAGCTTAAATTGTATAAATGTAAAAATCAGTGAATAGGCTGAATAGCACAGTGGTCACAGATAAAACAGATTTATTTGAGCCAAGTGTGTGGTGGTGCACACCTATAATCCCAACACTTGGAAGGCTGAGGCAGGAGAACTGCCATGAATTCAAGGCCAGCCTGGACTACATAATGCTTTCAAGGCCAACCTGAACTACAGGGCAAGACCATGTCTCAAAAAACCGGTGGGGGAAAACACACAGATTTGTATACTGAAGGACAAGCCTTTGGGGCACACAGAAACCAAGAGACAAAACTGAGAATGTGGAGAATCAGTCTGGGGCTCTCAGATTGCTTAGTAGAAGCTTCAGAGAGGAGAGGAAGAGGGTGGGCTGAATAGGGAATGGAAGAGGATGTCGCAGAGCTAAAGAAAGAAGCTCTCTTTGGTGTGGTAAGCAACAAGGAACCATCCTGATGGATTCCAGAGGCCCCAACCCAGCTCACTTCTACAGGGAAAGAAGAACTGGGTTGCATCTCTCTCTTTTTGCTGTCATTGGTGCCAGAAACAATAAAGCAGTGCCATGATGTTTCTGAAGGTAGATGGCTTTGTTTGTAGAATCCATTATGAAACCATCATTTGAAAGTAAAACAGACATTCTAAATATTCAGGGATTCAGTTTTCTTCTCAGCAACCTTTTCCAGTTCAGCAGAATGAGAAAGAGGCATATTGAGAAGACTAGAGAATGCAATAGCAGTCAACAACAAGAACACAGTAGGGCTGTGAGTTCAAGACCAGCCTGGGCTACATAGTGAGTTTCAGGTCATTCTCAACTACGTAGTAAGACCCTGTCTCAAAAAGCCAAAAAAATAAAAAACAGTAGAATCAGATTGATTAGATTTTAAATAGTTGATGATGAGACCCATAATAAAAAAAAGAAGAATAATCCTTGGGGATTCAGAAATGAAAGGGCACGTGAGTGGTGTGCATGCGAGGTATATATGTATGTGTTTGACTCAGCTGGCCCAGCAGCAGCAAGTACCCAGCTCCCACATTCTAGTTTCTAGTGCTATTCTACAACATGAGGAGCCAGCACTCCTGAGGAAGGGGTAAAGTTAGGGCTGGAGCAAGAAGTATGCAAGAGGAGCCTGAAATGTTTTGTAGCACCCTAAAGTAGGAAAATGCCATCTAATGGAAGGAAGGATGGCTTGTCAGAGGGGCACAAGAGCCAGAGAGCTCCCAACAGCTGGACTGGGGCAATCTGAGTGGCAAATAAATTACCTTGAATTACCAGGATTATAACCGTAGAATAAAATAAACACCCCTTAGCCCTACTTTAGAAGCACAAGAGTAAATAAACAGTGGCGCCAGGGATTTAGCTCAGTGGCACTATGCCTGCAAGGTCCTTAGTTCGATCCCAGGGACAAAAAAAAAGTGAATAAACAGTGGGTAGACCTCTGGATTAGGTGCAGAAGAGATGAGTCCTCCTTACAGAAGTCCAGTTAAGTAGATACTCCTCCCTGAAGGCAGATTGAGGTAAGTCCCTTCGAGAGAATAGTGTGGAAAAAGAATAAACATTTTAAATTTATTTGTTAACTGGAACATAACTGGATGTACTCATGTAGGACCACATGATGTTTACACACACACACTGAAATCTTCAAATCAGGATAAACACATCTAGCTCCTCAGTTACCTTTCTCTATGGTGAAAACACTCCAAATCCTGTCTTCTGGCTTTCTGAACACACACCACACTCTGGGTGTACCAATCTCACTGTAACTTAACCCCTCTGCTCAGTCTGTCCCATCCCACCCTCAGCTCCTCAACCTGTGGTCATCTGCATCCTATTCTCACCTTCTATGAGGTCAGCTTCTTAATCTCCCACATAGGAAAGATCAGAAAACAAGCCTTTGAGAACTCAGCAAACACTCATTACCCGAGTGGTGAGATGACATTGCTGGTGTGCCTGTGTCCCTGGCCTGAGATAACAAGGTGTTACAGCCTGGTGGTCTCCCTTCTGGAAATCAGTGGTCTCAGTGACCTCAAGAGAGTGTTTCCCACACACCCCCAGTGCCTGGCCACCCCTCCTCACACTCAGACCTCAGAGAAACCAGCATCCAAGAGGGGACGGAGAGCTGGACACAGTGTGCTCCCTGCGTGGATCCTGAACAGAAAAGGACATGAAAGAAAACTGACAAAATCCAGAGTCTAGAGCTCAGCTAATAGCAGTGTGCCAACCATGGTTCCTTGGTTCTCACAGACACACCACAGCAGTGCAAGAAGTAACATTAGGAGAATCTAAAACTGGGTGAGGTATATAAGATAACTATTTCCTGTGTTGGAACTTTTCTGAAAATCGAAACTCATTATAAAATAGAAAGCGTATATATTAAACCTCATTGGAAAACAAACCAGAAGGAAAAAAATGCCAAATGGAACTCACGCCAAGGGGAAAAGGCACATAAACGCAGGCTGGCGCTCCTGCCAGACTTGGAAGGTCTGAGTGCTGACAGGCATACAGGAGCCCTGTCCACCAGGTGAGCCTTTGCACCTACCCAACTTCACTAAGCTTTGGTCACCTCACCAAAGACAAAAATCTGGGCCAGAGATTTAGCTCGGTAGTTCCGCTGCCTGCCTCAACAAGTGCAAGGTCCCTAGATTGATCCCCAGTACAAAAAAAAAAAACAA